GGTTTGGTCATTCAGAGGGAGCTATTTTTAGACCTACTGCCATTGTCTTTCAAGCACCTGCATTCATCCCCATTCATTCAGGAACCAAGTTACATGGGAGGGGTAGGTGTGAGTCATAGGTTACACAACTGGGCATGGGGATAAGATGGAGGCTTGACATTGCAAGATGGAAACTTGACATGACTTACACTAACTTACATATATAAGCCTAAAACAGTAATCACACAATATAAAAGCAGTACAAACATAATCATTATCACTTATAAAACAGTGGATATCTATATCAAAATAGCAGAGCACTTATTTGCAAAGAGGGGAGAGAAAAATAAAACTTTCTACGTAAAATAAAATGTAAAAACTTTTCCTACATCTTAACTTACTTATACTTATCTATAGGGAATAGAGATGGGAAGACAATGTCAGAAATGGTTGGGGAGGGGCAGGAAATGCATTTTAAAAGAAAAAAAAGGAAAACTGGGGGTTTTGCTACATTTCTTCCAACTTGTTCTGGACCATCTTCATCTCAAGTAACACATTGTCTTCCTCATGTTACATCTAGCTGTTCTCAGCATTTTAACAGCAGCTAAAACTTGTTTTATTTCAGCATGCCATCACAACATTTTTTTAAGGGCCAACTTTGTTCTCCTATTAGTATGTGATGTTCACCAAATTAAACTAATTTTGAATCATTATCAAGTTTAATGTCTATACCAGCTTTCAGTGAAGACTATTCATTGAGATATTACCTCTATATATGCATGTGACACTCAAGCTAATACCTCTCCAACACAGTATAACACTTCATAGGAATAAATTTAGTCGTTCAACACTGCTAATTGTTTTTTCCTATACCACTTCAGTGGGTCAGCCACAAGTTGGGGGTAGGCAGTGGGGGAATCAAGTGGTGTGCCACACCCTGGTGCCAGCCCACCTTGCTACTTGTCCTCAGCTTCCTTTTTTTTCTTTTGTTTGTAAATTTTCCATGGTAGGCAGAAAATTTTTATATCTTTCTTTGGTAGTTTTGGAGTGATTTTTTTGTAGCTGTGATGGTCCAGCGGTCTATGTGCGAGGCAAAGAGTTTTGTGGGTGATGTCTTTTATTTGACCAACTGTATTTTTGGGATAGACTCAGCCCTTCTCTACACATGCAGGTGAAGGGGTAATGAGATCTAATGCATGATCCACACAATCACCCCTCCCGCCATGCCACACATACTTGGCAGGATGCACATTTATGAGATCATGCATTAGATCCCATTGCACCTTATTGCCTATGCGGGGGGACGATCCTGGGCTCCCCCTGCACTGGTAAGTAGCAAGTTCCAGTGGTTGAGAGCCCCATTGAGCTATGAGATTGCAGCTCCCTGCCCCAGGAGTGAGGGGAGCCCCCAAGGCTGGAAGACTGCAGCAGCTGCAATCTCCTGGCTCCGAGGGCTCCACGCACCCCCAGGGCTGGGAGATCGTAGCCAGGACCCACCTAGGTCCCTGGCATTGGCAGGCATGCTGCCGGGACTTAACATTCGCAGCAGCGGGACTCAGTCCTGGCAGCTGCGTGGTGCTGCCAGAACCCAAAGTCAGCAGCTGCTGGGGCTGAGAGTTCCTTTAGTTGCAGGACTCCTAGCCCTGGCTGGGTATGGTGCACCCCTGTAGGTAGGAGCCCAGTCAACTTAAGGGGCTTCCAGCCATAGAAACTTGCTTCTTGCCAGGGCAGGAGCCCAGGATCAGGCTCTTATGCACTGACAATAAGGAATGATACAACCTAATACATGATTCCACAAATGTGCCTCCTGTCATGCACATGTGACATGGCCGGAGACGTGATTGTGTGGATTGCACATTAGATCCCATTGTGCCTTTGCCTTAATGTGTAGAGGGGCCTGAATCTGTCCCAACAATACAGCTGGTCCACTAAAAGACATCACCCACAAAAATCCCTGCCTCTCACATAGACCCTGCTACATTTTCAAATTAAAGCTTAATAGCAACCAGCTGTAAAGTTAGTAGACATTTTCCAGGTCTGACTTTATAGCTGGTTGGAGTTTTTTATGGCGTAAGTACTTTGCACATGTAGCTGGTCTCAAGGTGATTGCGTACTTAACCAGTTAATTGCTTGATGCCTGTAACATGGGGGTTGGGAGGAGGCTCAGACAAACTTTCTAATGCATTGCTTGAAGAAGAATGACCAGCTACAAAATTTACTTCATGATTTTTAAAATGGCTTTTAACCAGAATTCTTCTGAATGTCCAGTGCACTCCCAGATGCAACAGGTTTTTTTCTATATAGTCATGTAAAACTGCTTAGCAACGTGTATATTTTTAGCATTAATAGTATATTTTAGAACTGAAGTTAGGGACCATAAATTAATTGAACTGAACAATTACAATTCTGAACCTTTTAGAACATGTTTCATTACAGAGGTCTAAATCAAAAAATCTTATGGTAGAACGTACTATTTTTATTATAATCTGTAATGTCTTGCACACTGAATACTAAAAGAGGATAATTCAAAGGAGTAACTGTTGCCTTTAGCAGTCTATTCGGACAGAAGCATCATATCAGTGGCCTCAAATGCTCATTTTCTAGTATATATCATGGACCAGCATGTTAAATCAAAAACTTCAACTGGCAAATATTTTTACTTTTTCATCTGTGTTAGATTTCATTCATACATGTGAGCACCTCTGCCATGAAGGTGAATGTGGACCGTGCTCTCGCACATCAACTGTTTACTGTCGGTGTGGCTTCAAAACAAAGGTAAATCAGTAAACCCTTACCTATTATAACAAGCAAATTATACTATTTTCAAAAGTCTGTTGTTTGGGAGGAAGACTGTACTGTGTTGTAGTAGTAAGCAGCATTGCCAGTGTATAGGATTAGTAGAAAATAGATGGGTCTAGAAAATACCTGTGTATTTTCACCTCCCTTTTACATTCATCAGCTTCTGAAAAGTGCTTTGAAGCATACATGCATGCAGGTTTACTTGTTAGTTTACCTGTGGAAAAGCTACATATCACACAGCAGTCCACCAAGTATATCTTTAAACAGGCATGCAATAGCCTATTGTTAATCACTAGTTAAAATAAGTTTGCAGAGGCATTGGTGTAGAATATTGTTGGGAAACATTGGCCTTGCACAGTCTTTTATTTCTTCCTTGCTCTAGACATTTGTGTAATACTCCAGAAGATTGGCATTCAGTGTGCTAACATCTAATGGATCATTTCTTTTATTGTTTTTGGAAGTAAAGCTTTGAAACAATTTGACTAGTATTGTAGGTGCCTTGATGAATCTGATGCTAATCTGTTAAAGCATCATCTATAGCCTTGACATGTCTTAGATTTTTGCCTCTGAAATCCTAGAGATATTTATTCTTTCCAATTTGCCAACCTTGAAGATACATTTTTGTACAAAACATCAAGACTTCTCTCTTGTTGTGGATTTAAGCATAATGTTTGTGTAGCTTTAGCAGCAGCTCCTCAGGCACCTAGAGGACACCTACTTCTAAGTATAGACTTCAGTCAAAGTGGTTTCTTTCCTTCTAGGTAATAAAACCATATGCTTAGAAGATGGTGTCTTTCATAGGCAGGAGCAGCCCATAGCATAGTTATGACTAGTGGATTAACCATGCCACATTAGCTATAATGGTGGCTGGTTAATAAAAAATGTTGGCAGCTGACTTGCATCCCTTCTGGGAATCTGGAAAGAGTGTTACTAGTCCCATTTTGCAACATTTTGATAAGTTTACATGGCACAACACTCGCTCATGTGGAGTTTGGGAACAGTGTAGTTGCATCATTGGGATGCCTGGGCTAATTAATCCCACAGAAGCAGGGTATCTTTAATTTGGGTGGAGTGTCATGCTAACAAATGTATGTTTCTGGTACCAGAGCAAGCTTGTTTAGAGCTGTTCTGTGCTCTCTTAGAGCAGCTTTAAACTTTGGGGAAAGTATACAGAACTTGCGTTTTGATGGAAGTCCTCCTCCTCTTCCTCCTTTATGTCCTCCTCTTTTTATTTCCATATCTGGAAGCTCCAGATTCAATTCAGGAACTGATCATCCTAAAATTCAGGTATCACTTTTGGGAATATGATCTGGCACCTGTAGATTCAGGTTTGGTGAATTTCTCAACATGTCAGTCAAATAAATATAACCTCTAATAGATGAGATAAATGTTGGTACCCCAGGAAGAAAAGTTAGGAGTACTTGGCTTCACGGTGATCTTGTGTGTCTTTGTTCTGGCAAAAAAAGATTTAAAAAAAAAACTTCCTTCACACTTCCTGGGGTTTCAAAATAAGATGAGTTCGTTTACCTGATCATGGACATTCATGATTGATTAGCCTAGAGCAGAGATGTCAAACTCATCAGGCCATTGTGGGCCAGGTGAGTGGCATGGAGCTGGCCATGTGCAGGCCAGAGAAGTAGCAGGGGGCTGGGCTGCCCTGGTCCCATGTAGGATAGCAATCAAGTTGTTCCTTTTCTTTTGTTTTAGCTTTAGTGTTTTGTTCTCATTCCATAGATCTGCTTTCTGGAGACAGAAAAAATTACGCAGTCTTTTGAAAAAATATCCTTTCATTTCACTCTTCTGTCCCTCTCCTCTTACTTGATAGGTTGCTTGCTACTTAGTCTGACATGACTTGAGATTTAAAGGACTCTCTGTTTATGAGAATAAACTATAAATATAAAGCTTATTGAATTTATTCTTTGAAAGTTTTTTTTTGTTGTTTTTTTTTAACTGGGCTATGATGGTCTTGTTGGGTACTCACAGAAAGAATTGCTTGGGCTACAAAAACATTGAAGGTATGCACTCAACCCATTTCATTGTCACTTGCTTAAGTGGCACTTGCATAGTTGCATAAATATAATTTTTGGTGCTTACAAAGAATTTGGACTCTGTTTCCCAAGTGCATAGATCTGCTCATCCTACATTTCCCTTCTGAGTGCAGTACCCTGGCTGTAGAACAGTATAAAATCACTTGGGTATGCATGTAACCCCATGCAAGTTTTCCAAAACATCACTGCTAATTAGTGTGAGGCCAGAAGAGGAAGCCTCCCACTTTTGACAAGTAGATCAGAAACTCCCATTGTTGTTTATCCATTATATCCAATTAATATTAAATGCAAGGTGCAGAAAAGCCATTAAGACCAAAGGCTGGAACCCAAAGTGTCCATCTCACTGAACCAGACTCCTCGCTTGCTCTTCTCTAACTCCTAGATCCATGTGTTTTCTCCTCCTGGCTGACTTCTTCTGGACTGGTGTTTAGAGCAGTTTCTAGGAAGCAGGAGCAGGAAATGTATATTTGAATCCCTTTTGGGTGAGAGGAGGAGTTAGAACTTGGATTTCCCTTGCAAGTGTCCTCAACACTAGGCTCTTGGGCCAAAAGGTAGAGGGAACTTTTCTTCTGTTTTTACTTTCAGCAAACATGTGTGAGCATTAATGTGTGTACCTTAGTGATCCTGTCCTACCAAACATAGTTGGACACAGAATCCAAATTGTGTGTGCGCGCCAAAAAATGGCAGTTTTGCAGCTACGTAAGTGCCACTTTAGTGTGTAAAGGATTTAACCTTCATTCAGTGTGCTGGTTCTGTACATGTGGCATTGATTTAATCCTTTAGTGAGGAATACCAGACATGAGGATTCCTTGCTGTGACAGAGCATAATATATTTACTTGCATACCACACACAGACCTTTTTCCCCCCCTCAAAAAATTGCCCTCCACAATGGGTTGAGCATCTTAATCAGAGAAGCTGATTTTTCTGCCCAGAAAAGAATAGCGACACTGTAAAATCATAGATTATCATAGATTTCTAGGGTTGGAAGGGACCTAGTAGATCATTGAGTTAGACCCCCCTGCCCCAGGCAGGAAAGACAGCTAGGGTTAAGTAACCCCAGTCAGGTGCTTGTCCAATCTCTTCTTGAACACCTCCTTTGGAAGCCCATTCCATATCTTGGCAACCCTCATGGTAAAGAATTTCTTCCTGATGTGCAATCCAAATCTACTCTCCTTCAGTTTGTGGTGGTTATTTCTAGTAACCTCAAGGGGTGCCCTGGTAAACAGAGCATCCCCTGTTCCCTGTGGCCCCCCCTCCCAATGAGTTTGTAGGTGGCCACAAGATCACCTCTCAGCCTTCTTTTGTGAAGAGTTTCAGGTCCCTCAGTCTGTCTTCATAGGGTCTTACCTGCAGGCCGTCAACCATACGAGTAGCCCTCCTCTGAGCCCTCTCAAGGTTCTCCATATCCCTCTTTAAGTGCGTTCCCAAACCTGGATTTAGTACTCAATCTGCGGTCTCACCAATGCCACACAGACAGGAAGTATCACCCCCCTAGACCTGCTCGTGATGCACCTATTAATACAAGGAGTGTGGTTAGCCTTACTTATTACCTTGCCACATTGGTGACTCATGTTAATTTTTGCGTCGACTATGACTCCGAGATCCCTTTCCACTGCCATGGTACTTCCCAGTCTATGGGTGTATTGGAGATTCTTTGTCCCCAGGTGCAGCACCTTACATTTATCCTTGTTAAACTGCATCCTATTCTGATCCACCCACTGCCCCAGTCTATCCAAATGCCCCTGAATTCGTTCCCTGCCTTCTAGTGTATTTACCATACTCCGTAGTTTGGTGTCGTCTGCGAATTTGGACAGTGCTTTCAACACCCTCATCCAAATTGCTGATGAAGATATTGAACAGTACTAGTTTAGGGACAAAGCCTTGGGGGACACCACTGCCCACATCTCTCCAGGGGGAAACCGACCCATCTACCACCACTCTGTGGGGGGCTGGACTAAGCAGGTTTTTCACCCGCCTTACTGGGAAAAGATCAACATTACAGCTACTCAGTTTGTTTGTGAGGTTCTCCCTGTTATAACCCATGCTGGTTGTCCCTTAACATTGTATTACCCACTGGCCCCCCCACAAATGTGATCCTTTATGATTTTTTCTAAGGTCTTGCCAAGAATAGACATAAGGCTAACCAGCCTATAATTACCCAGGTCTTCCTTCCTTCTTGAAAATAGGGACCGCACTGGCCTTTTTCCAGTCTTCTGGGACCTGTCCCGAGTGCCATGAGCACTCAAACAGTTGTGCCAGTGGTTTTGCTATGACACCAGCCAATTCCTTTAATACTCTTGGGTGAAGATCATTGGTGCCTGCCAACTTAAATATGTCCAACCCCTCCAAGTAGCCGTCACTAGGTCAGCGCTAACTGTTGGTGGGCTGGTATTTCTCTCATGCCAGGCTAAAGTCTTGTTGGGAGGTGTATTTGTATCTATGTCCAGGAACACATGCAAAGAAATCATTTAGGAGCTCCACTTTTTCTATCCTATCACTTACGAGTTGCCCTAGTCCATTCTGTAGCAGCCCTATGTTACCCTGCACCACTTTCTTGCTCCCTATGTACTTAAAGAAGGCTTTTTTGTTACTGTTAATCTTTGTTGCCAACTTGAGTTCAGTATCTGGAAAAAAAAAAATGGCTACTGCTTCTTTTCTTTCTCTTTCCTTCTGCCCCCAGCTGGCTGCATGGAGGAAGAGAGAGTCCAGTCTTAAGCAACAGATGTAGTTTTTAACCTCTTTACCAGCCACTGCCAAATTGGCAGTAGGTTTTGGCTGAGCAGTCAAGACCTGATGCCAGTTAGGCAACAGCTGAGAGGGTTAAAACTAACATTTCCTGAACAGGAAAGGGAGGATGAGTGAGCTGAAGATTAGGTTCTGTCCTGACTCCATCTAGCCATAACTGGTAAAATCTTTTCTTCATTCTCCATTCCCAAAAAACAAGGTGCATGCTTTATTTGGGGGCATGTGGTATGCAAGGAAGACGGGGTGTCAAAGTTGCAGAGCCCTGTTATCTGGCCCCTGGTAGTGCCCCTGGGTCAGAGTTGACCAATTGCACTGCACATGTCATGTGCTGAACCCTGCCCTTTGAGCAGGACCCAGGGCATATGCTGCATGCGGTGCCTGTTGTGGTTGCTCTGGGATCTGTGCAGCATGCTCCAGCTGATCCGGGATGTGTTCTGCACACAATGTCTGCAGGTGCCCCATACAGTGCGGGTCCTGGACTGGGTGCAGCAGGTGCTTATGCGGTGCATTCCTGGACCAGGGGAGGTGGGTGCTGCATGCAGCATGGATCCTGGAAAAAGCACTGTGTAGTGTTGTACCCACTCCAGCTACTCTGGGATCCACGTGACATGTGGCACCTTCCCACCAGTCAGACTGCAGCACGTGTGGTACCTGTTTTGGCTGCTCTGGGATCTGTACTGCATACCCTTGCTGGGGTAGCTGCTCTGAGATTTGTGCAGCACGTGGAGTGGACCCTGGAGCAGCTGGAATAGCCTCTGTGTCCAGTGAATCCAGCATATGGGGTTGGGGCTAACTGGGTCTGTGAACCAGCCCCCTGTCACTCATCCAGCCCACAGGACCAGATGAGTTTGACACTCCTGTGTTAATTCTTAACTTGCCTAGTAACATTTCTTTTTCCTGGGATGTAGTAAAATTCCCCACTATGGAAAAAAGAGTCCTACAGATTAAAGTGCTTTGTTTTTAAATACTATTTATAGGTCTCAAAAGAAAGCAAAAAAAACCTTTAGAGCCAGCTAGAAAAATAATGTAAATACTAGGTGTTTTTTCCTCCCCATCCATCCAAATCCATTTAAAAATCATGAAATACCTGAAACTTTGAAAACAAGAAGTGCTGTGGCTTGCATTTTTTTTAGAAGCAGAAGATGATACAGTAAGATAGAAAAGCTTCCTTGTACTTACCTGTCAGTTTCTTTCTTTTTTCCCCCCCTGCCCATAGTTTGTTATTTGTGGCTGGCATTGCTTGTGGAATGAGGTGGGGAGATAATTTGCTACTGTTGATATTGAAGAGTGTTTAAAGAAGAACAGCTTTAAAATAAAAGTTTTGATTTAAATTGATATATACATAATTGGTAGGTGATTTGCTATTTTAAGGGCTATCTCTCAGTACAATCAGGATTTTGTCCCACTTCCCAGGTATGACCAGTTATAGTGGTTAAACCATTGCTTGTGTTTTTGTTTAATATACTGTTTACAGTTCTCTTTGGAACAATAAGCTTGTAGTTGCTCTTAATCTGCCTTCATTTAATCTGTTCGTATTCCTTTTATAGGAAGTTCCATGTGCCCTCCTCAAAAATAAAGGTAAGCAGTCACAATTATACTATTTGTGCTTACCCCTTTTTAAAAATGTTTCTATTTCAGAATTTGCATGATGTGATATATTCTTTCATTCAGTATGTGAAGTAACAGAGTTCAAAGCATGTGGATGAAGAGAGATCAGGTGCTGTAGGTGGTAGTGCGAAGGATATTAGCATTTTCATTAATGACAGTTTTAATGTCTTGTGCAAAGTCAGTTGTTTTTTGGTTTGAGAGTATTTCTACATTTTAACTATCTGCTTTTATCACGCTCATGGAACTGTTATTTTAAAGACATGCCTGATATCTGTTCAAATTGTGTTGGGTGAAAAACTACATTCTTTGGAGTTGAAATGTGTGTGGGTGGGTGAGAGAGAGCTGTCTTGACAAGTCTGTAAATGGATATAACTAATAGTAAATATAGCAGTGTACCATTCCCTTGGCCTTCAGCACTGGAGTTTTCCTATGTAGGTAATTGCCTCTTCTCTTGCTGGCTAGATCTTTTGCTAACTGTATACGTGACCTGAAAAAGAAGTCTTTGGAACTGTTCAGACTATAAAAAAAAAAAAGTTTTATAACACTTACCTCTGTAGTATATTCTAATACAATTTTATAGAGTCTCCCCCATTCTGGTGTTTTTCATTACTGTAGGAATATACACCTGATGAATCTCTAACATTTGTGTCTCTCTATATCAGTTTCTCTTCCTACAGTTCTTATTGTTTCAGTTTTTGTAAGCATAACTTTCTGACTGGCTTGTAATTTATGGACTGCGCAAAGTAGATACGTATGCCTGTACGTACAGCACAAACTTTTGTTAGACTGAAGTACACTTTCATGGGCTGAAGTGTGTGTGGGTGTGTGTAATTTGGTTAATTTATAAGCTTCAAATGCCTCTTGCTCTCTGCTTGACTTCAGACTAATACAGCTAACTGTCTCGCTGACTTGTAATTTTCAGGAGGAATGTTATTGAGTTTTAACAGCACGGGTTTCTATAGTTTGGGGAGTACCATCATATTTTAGAAAACTTGGGGGTGAGGACAGACAGATGGACCTTGTCTCTAATTATGGAAGACACCATGAAAGTTTTGGCTCTTGCTGGCTACTTCTTCCAGCCATCTAAGCATCATCAGATTTCCTTGTCTTTCATGCTTTTTCAGCTCACTGGTGATGGTTCTGCCCCCTCAGGCCCCAGGGGAGGTGCACCTAGGCCAAGG